TCCTCAATTACAAACTCAAATGCATTTTATTAAACATTCACACCATTGTATCATTCATACAAAATAGCAAGCTATTCTTCATTGCATATCTTTGTGTTCTTAGCCAGGTTTAATCAGTGTCTATGCATTAAACTCCATGAGCTTGTCTTGTCTTTATAAGGTTAATGCATTTTCTGTTTGTGTGTGTGAATTTGCATATGTTGCTTTTGCAGTGTGTCAGACTCCTTCATAATTTTGCCTTTAAACAGTCAATTTACTCCTTCCCAAATTTACTAACCCAAATTCTGATTTCCTACCTTAAATAGCAGCATTCCTTGTCCTCAGCCAGAAGGTAGGGCTCCACTTGCCACTTACCCCCTTCGCCTTAGCCCAGCGGCTTTACCCTTAAGGTCCCGTCTTCTTCCCTTCATCTCACCCGTGACTCTGAGCTCACCGGGACTGAGTGAAGCCGAGTAATCGTGGCTGTGCCTGCCTTAGGTTGTCCCAGGGTTTTGAGGTGGGATCTTACCCGTCATGGGCTATCCAGCCTTCCATACTCGCCTGATACAGGGCCCAAGTGGGCAGGGGAGGGAACACACTGGCTCTGGAAATTAAAGGAGTGTAAGCTGCTTCCTTCATTGCATCTTATATTAAACTATCTCACTTCTGATTCCTTCCTAGAATAATTTCACATATGGCACTTTGTGTATGTGTGTTTTCTATTCATTAATGTAATTGTCAGTTATTCTCTCTCTTCATTTTACCTTCTTTTGTTTGTTTGTGACGTTCTACTTTAGTTCTACTGAACCTTGATGTAAAAACAATACACCCTTATTTCACGCACACACTCTGCATTTTGCCTACGCACACACTTCTCTCTCAGACTTCCTCTGTTCACGCACCACCTTGCACTCACTCTACTATCAACTTTCATAGTGTTATTATTATTTAGTGTTTTGTACACCTCACACAGAATCATTCAAATCGAGTACTCACAGCATTCACATCACAACCTTCAACTTTCACTTTCGATCCTGCAAGACGCAGAGATGGACATCTCCTTCACCTAACATAAAACTAAATTACCATATCAACATACAATTACTGAAATTCAAACTCAAATACACCGTCTGTTTTAATAAAGTCAAAGAGTAAACGGGTGTACCAAGTGTATGTACTTATGCGTTTTAAACTGAAAGAAAAAGAAACTCAAACTCTTATAACATCACTCATGCCTCTCTCAAATTAAAAACACTTCCAAACTTTAAAACATCCTACTTTACATCACCAAAGAAATACCTCTCACACCTTTATTCATCATTCAAAACCTTCTAGTCACCGCATTCACACTTAAACTGTGACCAGAGTTGAGGAATATAACTCAAAACACACTTTCCTAAGAGTATTTTAGACATGCTTGTCATAATCAGAAAGAGCAAGTCAAAAACAAACAAACAAAAAATTGAAACCTCCATTAATTCTCACCGCACACACAAGAAATTGAAAAAATAAAACACACCAGCAACTATTGCTGGAGAAAAGTTACTACTGCAAGTAATGTGTTAGTCTTAAATATATACAGTGCACTCAATATATTTATATATCTACATCCAAACTCAGTCAATTACTATACATCCACTACGGCAACTCAAAACTTTATTTATAACCCTCTAGTAAACATAAATGGCATCTTACACACACACTCTACAATGTTTGCAGCAGTATTTGTAAAACCAACTGTGGCTTAAACAGTTCACTGCTTACTAATTTGCATTTTCACACTCACACACACACAGTCTAAAAATAGCTCCAGCATTGCCTCAGACTCCTTTCACACAGAGATCTCTTATTTTATATTACAAAGACATCTTATATTTACAACCACTGTCAGATCTGTCAGCTTTAGCGCCTACACAATTTAGACAAATTTAAAATAACCGCCCAGCGGATAAACTCCCTGAGTTTTTTGCGACCAATTAACCAGTATCAGACTCTACTGTTTCTGGCCTCATCTCTAAAATCCCTAACTCAATTTAAAAGCGTCAACCAACCCAAACTTTGCCTGAAGCTCTATTTTTGGCGTTTCACAGCCAAGGCTTACCCCAAAGTTTTAAGTTAAAGTTACACGCCCGAAGTCCAACTTCTTCTGACCAAAAAAGCGCAGGTACCGTTCCAAACGGTAAGGAGACTCTAACTCCTAGCTATTTTGGAGGTTCCCAAGTTCTCCCCGGTTGCCAACCGTACTAACCCTATTCGCCGATAGGTCAGGGCCAAGCGTCCTTGGCCGGGAGGGAGCGTTACCTCCGAGAACTGCGCTTCCTAGAACCCCACGGTTCCGTTCTAAAATAATTTATAATACTTTGAAACAACAATCAACACCCAAAACAAGTGTATAACTGAGGCAGGTGCAACCTAGTGGTCAATGGAGACTCCAACTCACAAAATGACCGCTCAGGTCCACTCTTATGACCAAATTTGGACTCTATCCAACAAAATAACCAATTCCCTACCAAAATACTTGAGACTCGAACTCAATTTCTTTGGGACTTCCACCCAGTATTTAAACTTTTCTTATCAGACTCTTAACTGCTTCAACTCATGAAATTTTCATCAGAATCAAAACAGACACCCACCAGTAATTTCAGTGAGTAGACTTAAATTTTATCATGTCCAATTTGGCACACTTTGGAAATAATTCAACAGGTAGTGCCTTACCTTTTGGATAAGCCGGCTTATGCCCACTCACTTCGACCACTGGAATTCATGTCTGCCCGTCAGACCACCTAAGACCAAATTTCTCCATCTACACCTCCAATCCTCCCTCCTCAACCACCGGACGAAGCCCCCAAATGTTAAGGTTCAAAATTGAGGAAGGAGAGTACAAACCACCCTTGGTCCAGAAGCTCTTGGTCAAACAATGATTTTAATGAACACACGTGTGGGAAGACAACTCTGTACGCAGACAGCCAGTAGTCCTCGACTTAATCAAAGCATGAACAGATATTTTATAGCATCAGGGTTTGATTTACTGACGCCCCTTCATGCGTCACAGATACATTTTATACATAGATCAGATCAACACCACAATGACTTTTCACCCAGAAAATCATCTTCTATTTTCATGGCTGGTACTTTCCGTTCTTGTCTTAAAGTGAATTGTTCCTCTTTCTTGTCGAGACATAACTAATCTCTCCTCTAAATAAGTCTAACTAATGTGTGTGTATGTGTTGACCTCACATGCTCTTTGTGTCACCTCTTCACCTCCAACCTGCTGTGTCTCGTCCTCAAATGCTCTTTCTCAATTCACCTGTTGCACTTCTGACCTTTCACTAGACCAGAGGCTCACTGAGACTATGTGTATGTCTTCTACTAAATAAATGTTTTAACCAAGAACCTCTACTAAAACCTTAATATAAAATGATCTGATATATAAGTGTTTTGTAAGCATGTATTGCAATTCCTTCTATGGCTCCAAGTCACTTGCACAATAGATTGTCCGAACATCGCGCCGAACAAAGCTTCCGACCCCCAATTAATTGACCGAGCTCCAACTCTTTAATAAGCACAGATATGCATTGTGTATAAAATAGTCATAACTGCACCTGAAATACAAGGTCAACATAATAACTGTATGCATAACATCTTAAGGCCATCTTAAAGCTATCTGTTACATTGTTAAAGCCTCGTCTTAGCCTGCTGCTCAAAATAACTTTCACTTCTGCAAAACTCTCCAAGCCTGTTTCCTGTCCTGTTACTTTTAGCCTTTCTGAAAGACACACACTGTTCAACCCCTGAATGCAATATAAACTCCAGATTATATTGTTAATGCAATGGTAATAATGATGATTATTTAACAATAGCAGTAAAATAATTTCCCTGCTCCACAGGACCACATCAGTCCAGCTCTGAGGTCTTTACACTGGCTGCCTGTCCGTCAGAGGATAGGCTTTAAAGTTCTGATGCTGGCCTATAAAGCTCTGAATGGTTTAGGACCAAAATACATCAATGACCTCCTGACCCAGTATGAACCATCCAGATCCCTCAGGTCATCTGGATCCGGTCTTTTATCAGTTCCAGAGTCAGAACCAGACACGGAGAAGCTGCATTCAGCTTTTATGCTCCATATATCTGGAACAAACTCCCAGAAAGCCTCAGATCAGCTGAAACACTCAGTTTATTTAAATCCAGGTTGAAGACTCACCTATTCTCAGCTGCATTTGAATAAAGCACCAAATCCACACTTTTAAGCTTAAATTTCAAAACTTACATTTAACTACTGATTTTATCTATTGTTCTGATTTTATCTGTTTTGATTTTATATCCTGTTTTGTTTGTTTGTTTGTTAATTAGTTTGTTTGTTTGTTTGTTTGCTTGTTTTAATCAATTTTAAATCATGCTTTTATTTGTTTTTGTTTCTAATGTCTCTGTAAAGCACTTTGAATCACCTTGTTGTTGAATTGTGCTATACAAATAAACTTGCCTTGCCTTGCCTTTTTTTTATTCATGATCACTGGTGGCGCTTGAAATTTTCATGATTTGAATTTAAGTTGATTTGAACATAGTTTTTATGCTTATATATTCAAGGCTTATATGACAAGGTCCAAGCAAGCAAAAAAAAAAAGGAACTTATTCAGCTCAATTGCACAAGTCCAAAAAATCCACAAGCTGAGGAAAACTAAAAATTCCAAGAACACAAGAGGCAGCATAGACGAGAAGAGGAAAGACTTTGGTGATGAAAACAGGAAAGACAGGGCTCTAAATATTCACACCGAAGGCCAATCAGAGCAAGCAGATACACATGGGCCAAACTAGACCCAGGCAATAAAAAATATCAGACATGGGAGGAAGTAAAACTACACATAAGACTCCAGAGGAAAATAAAGCAGGACATGAATAACAAGAACCGAAGAAGCTAAAACATAAACAATAACTAGCACTAAAATACAACAAAAAAAATAATAAAATAAATTAGTTATTCTTGACCAAGAATTATTAATTTCCTTTCTTCTTTCTTAAGAAATGAGCTTCATAATCTTCAAGACCTATTCAAACAAACAAAGGTGAATAAAACAAGCACACACATTATTACTATTTGTTTTTTTTAAACTTAGGTTTCTTGAGATGGAGATGAATTAACTAAATATTCTGCTTGTTACGGCTACTGAAAAACTATTTTATTTATTTAGTTCATTTAGTCATTTCACTTTTTTTGCTGCCATGCAGAAATATTTTAAAAATAATTTATCTTGAAGTTTTGACTTAAGTTCAGCAGAAAATTCAAGTTATTTTCTCAGACATTTGAGCTAGTGAGTTCAAATTTTGAGATGCAGAGCGTAATAAATTTATTAGACCGTCTATCGTTAACTAGAAGAACACACAAATATTTTAAAAATGCCTCAAATTTGTTAAAAATGAAAAATCATGTTTTTATTTATCAGACAAATTCCTGCTGAATTCATGTTTTACACCCAGTTTTGAGAACACTAGACTTCTCTGAGATGTTAGAAATTAAACATAAACATCCAAGCAGTAAAAAAATGTTTCTGTTCAGGAAAGAAAGTAAATATTTCTACATATTTGTCAAAACTCAAAAAAATAATACTGACTTTTGAGATAATAACCTGAAATTTTCACATATGGATGCCTTTTTTCCCCAGAGGTGGAAACAAGCTTCCATATTTTGATGTGTTGTGTCAGATAACATTTATCATCAAGCACCTAATATGTACTTTTTTCACCCACAGGAAATGTTACATCGCATAATTTTGCTTTTTGTGAGTCTGGTATTTTTGGAACAAGTATCCTTTGCAGATTTTACTTCTTCACAAATAGGTAATATGAAAACGTTTAAACTATTTCTATTAGCTTTCAGTGGTACAGCACACATACACGTAGCGACAAGAAAATACACCATCTGACACTTATCACCTATTAGGACATAATAAAATAATCGATCCTTAGCAGGTCTTAAAATGAGGTAAATACAACCTCAGATGAACAACAACTCAAAACATCTTACACCATGTCACTTTTTTCCATGTGGGAAAAAAGATGTTGTGCGCTTTTCACTGCTCAGCTTTCCAGTTGCCTTCTTGGCTCAGCACCACATACAGCTCGCTCCCTGGTCCCGGCAACATCCTCAAAAGGGGAGACATGATCAGATGATGGAGGTCAGGTATGTGAGTCAGCCTCAACTGACACCACACCCTGAACCCATTGCTCCACCCCTCCGCTGCAGCTGAGCCACAAGCCACACTCCGACGCAGACATGTTATAATATGTGTTGTTGTTTATCTGAAGTAGTATGAACCTAACTTAAAGGACCAAATTGTTTTCTATTATATTTTTCACACAACTGCAAATCTCCAGATTGCGTTACATGTGTACTTTCTTACATTTTCTTGACTTTGTTTTCAGAAAAATGCACAGAAACCACACGTGAGACAGAAGACTTTGAACAGCTGAAGAAACTCAGGAACAGATTCACTTATATTGCAAGAAGCTGTAAAGAGATCAAGGACCGATATGGTGAATATGAAGGTGAGGACAATACAATCTCACAAATCACAAGTCATAATTATTTAACGGGCAACATTCAGGATATTTCTACCCTCTTAAAATGAAACTATGTTTTCTTAATACTTTGTTTCCAGATGGGGTGTACTACCTCACCACAGCTAATGGCATGCTGTACCAGACTTACTGTGATATGACTACTGCGGGGGGCGGATGGACGCTGGTGGCGAGCGTCCATGAGAACAGCATTTATGGAAGGTGCACAGCCGGCGATCGCTGGTCCAGCCAGCAGGGCAACAATGCTGACCTGCCTGATGGAGATGGAAACTGGTCCAACAGAAACACCTTTGGAACAGTAGAGAGCGCCACTGCTGATGACTTTAAGGTAAAATCAGCCGTGGTGGTAAAAACAGTGCTGGAAAGTAACATTAACTGAAGCACTTTACTTAATTTACTTAAAACTGATTGTGAGATCATAAAATGCAACACACTGCTGTGGTTAGTTTGTTGGAAACTCATCAGTTTCTTGCCAGATGAATTGTTTAGACAGAAATGCTCACAGGATACAACAAGAAGAAGCAACAATTAAATTCCTTGGTTTATCGTCTGATTGTGAATCTTAACCATGATGTAAATAACAGTATTAAACACCAATTAATATCATAGATAAAATATTTACCATAGGAAAAAACATTCACTTTAGTGTCAAACACTTTTGAAATTAAAGTATATTTTAGCTGGTTATAAGCTACAGTTCCAGCTTATGTCACTGAATTGGTTCGGTGCAGGTGGGCGTGGGATGTCACAAAAATTCTATTTGAAAAGAAAAGCAAAATATTTGAAAAGCAAAATGGAGCAATTTATGATGCAAAAGAAGTTAACTGGGCCAGAAGTGTTAATTTGAGTCATAACTATGTGCGTACCCTCACACAGAATCCAGGTTACTATGATATAACAGCTGAGGACATGTCTGTGTGGCACATTCCCAACAAGTTGCCGCTGGAGCACTGGAACCAAGCAGCTGCAGCCATCCTCCGCTACCACACTGAAAACCAGTTCCTCACATTGTATGGAGGAAATCTCTTTCAGCTGTTCAAGGTAATTAAAGCTCTGAAGAATTTATTAATTTGTAAATTTCAAAAACATAAATGATCAAGAGGAAAAGCTTCTGAAAATTGATCCAGTAGTTTATATTCTGTAGTAAATCAGCCGTTTCCCAAGGTGGAACGTTGGTGGAACGTTGGAACGTTTTAAAGTTTCAAAAATTCCTGTGAAAAGATCGTTAGTTGTCTGCTGCATCAATGGTATACTTGTCCCGAGAAATAAAGGCTGTGAACTGAACTTTGAAAATATCACAGATACGTGTCTGCTACTTCCTCCAAAGAACAATGCAAACTGGTTCTAACGAGAAAAGAAAGAGAAGTGAGAGACCCCAGAGCACAACTGAACAGGAGGATGACTCACTGGTCACTTTATTAGAGATACTTAGTTGATACCAACTTGGATCCCCTTTGCCTTCTGAGCTGCCTCAATTCCTTGTGGCCAAAGTGTGCCAAGAAAATATTACACCACCTTTGCATCACAACCAGGCTTAATTGTTGATACAAGACAGGATGGAGCCACGCCTTCATGTTGTTTATGCCAGATTCTGATCCTGCCATCCACTTCAAAATGTTCTTGGAAAACGTTTTTTTTTACTGCAGAATATAAACCACTGGATCAATTTTCAGAGGCTTTACTCTTTACTTTTATACATATATGTGTGTGTTTCTGTGTGAGCGTGTGTCCATACATACACACTCATGACAAACTCCCCCAACACTGTTGCAGCAATATCCGGTGAGATACAAAGTTGGAACATGCAGTGACAGAGGGCCAGCTATTCCCATCATATACGACCACGGAGACGCGGAGTCCACCAAAAAGTTGTATGGACCCAATCCAAGAAGTAAGAAGCTCATTTAATCAGATTGAAAATGATAATTTGGATCATTAGAAGACAATTAATTAGACAATTAATGTGTAATAAGAGTCTTTTACATATTTCACACATAAAATAGTTGTTTAAACTTGCAACACAAAATGAATAACAGGGTTTTTAAGTATTTATGAACATACTCTATTAATTAAACCAGTTGTCATATGAATTTTTATTTAATTATTTAATTTGTTTGTTTGTTTGTTTGTTTGTTTGAATGAAAGGGGAGTTTGAACCAGGCTTCATCACTTTCAGAGCAATAAACTGGGAATCTGCGGCCATGGCTATCTGCTCTGGTGTCAAGCCGACTGTCGGTTGCAACACTGAACATGTGAGTAATCAGTCGTCACACATCTGCCTATACTGTGTGAGTACACATGGTGTAAAAACCCTGTTTTTAGTATTGTATAGGAGGAGGAGGATATTTCAACCCTGAGGAGCAGTGTGGGGACTTCCCATCTTTTGACTACGACAGACTGGGCAAAGAGCAAGGCTGGAGCGCCTCCAAAGAGATGACCGAGGCTGCTGTGTTACTGTTTTACCGCTGAGTGGGTTTGCGTAGCCTCGACTATAGTCAGTCCCAGCTGTAACCAGATCAGGTGACATCAGATTTATTTGTACAGCCATCAATCATAAAATTTCTCTTTTATTGGAGAACAAATCAGAAGTTGACAGTGAAAGAATCATTTGTAATTAAGCAACACAAACCGTAGATGGCACTGCTGAACTGTGTAGTTACACGAAACATTCAAAGTTGTTTTTACTGGAATTAATTTGACAGTTTGTTTTAGTCAGCAGAGAAAAAGAAAGATGAACTGCGAATAGATTTCATGGTCACGGTCTAACCTTCAATTTTTATGAAAAAAAATTTGCATGTAAGTCATCCTCATTATTATTGACGAGCACATAGACCTAAAATACTCAGGACTAACCAGTGAAACTGAGTATTTTTTAAATGTTGTGTCCATTGCTTCCACTGACAGCTCATGACATAAAAACCTTCAGGTGGTCTAGAGGTCACCTATAGCTGAAAGACAAACTGGCCACGCTGGCTGGATATAGCCATGGACTTCAAACAGATGCTGGAGGTCTAAAGCTTGCACATTTGTTCCCTTGTGTGATGTGTGTCCTCTGATTCTTGGAACTAAAGATCTGATTAATTAAACATCAAATTTTCACTGAAGGTTTAGTAAGAAATGTGGTAAAGATGAAATGCGTTTCCATGGAAACCCTGCTTTGATTAGAATGTTATTAACCTGATCTAGAGCTATATTAAAAGCTAAGACTAGGTGTGGCTTTATTTAACCTAAAAGACAGACAGACAAACAAATGAACAAACAAACAACACCCACACTTGAAAACTAACTGAAATGACTTTTTGAAATAAAAACAAAATACAAATATTTGCAGTAAATGTCCTTACTTGTAGTTTTTGACAACACAGCGAGTATGACGCATTTGTTTGATGAGACATGAGATAACTAAACGAGCAAATACCCAGCCTCACAAAGTGTTGTGTTTTTATTGTAATACCTGTTTTAACTTTTCCAAATTTTAGCTGGACAAACACTCTTCATATAATAATAATAAGAAAAGCAAGAAAAACAAAAATCCCCCTAAAACTAACACTGAAACTAGCCTAAACTGAATCCAAACCTTTCTAAACAGTAACACCAGAGCTGAAAATACAAAACTGTAACATTTAACAACGAATGCTGAGCTTGCGGTAAACGTAACTGCTTTTTTCTCTACCATTTTACTTACCTGACTTCTTACGACCATGGGTCTGATGCAACCTTTGGTTAAGACAGCTAACGACTGCACTGCAAGCAGAAATGATGAATATAAATGTAGGTATTCATTTTTTTCTTTTTAGGAATAATGCACATCTTATTTATTTAATAAATAAATAAATATATTTATATCCCCCCCTCCTGTATGCCACTCTACGAGTCAGCTGAGCTAGAAACTTAAAAAGAAAAACAAAACAAAACTCTTATGGAAGAATACTCTACTCGGAAAACATGTATTGGTAAAATATAGCAAGAATAAAATTGTTCTAATTGTTATGTGTATGCTCTGAATTCCTCAGAAACACTAAAAGAAAATGAAAAACAATTAAGATGATTAAATATCTAACAAGTTAAAGAAAGGGGATGAAACGGGGTACAGGTGAGGATTTCCGGTGTAGTCTCGATTTTCTGCACTACGCAAACAAAATTCAAAATAATGGGAGTTTATTTTTCACATTATTGACCTCCAGTCTTTAATAATCATTCTCCTCGGTGTTTCTTAGTGTGACAGAAAAGCAAAGCTGAGAAGTGTGAGGTAAATATTGTGTTTAATAAACAAACATCAGTCAGGGAACTGACATTAGTCTGGGGATGGAGACGGGGAAATATATAAAGCACAATGCACATGTGTAGTGGTGGAGGGGGGGACATATTTATCTGTTACACAAGGTGCCCCCCGTACAGTAGGAGCAGGAAGTTCTATATAACATACAGATCAGGATCCAAGTCTACGGTACAAAAACTTAGCAGCAACATGTTAACATCGGAGACCAAGGGGCTAACAAAGTAGTTTCATTTAGAAAAAAGTCACAGTATTCTTTAAGCATAAATTTGTTAAAAAGGTAAAAACAGTCCTAAGCATCCTCTAGGGTCAATGCTACTCACAAGATCTGTGTGTGAAATACATAGGTAGGGAAATTATCTATACATTTATACTCTAATATAAAGACCTTCTGGTAATGGCACAGTACAAACTTCCAGGAAACGCGACAAAAATATACAATGTCTTCACGTCACATTTGCAGATTAAAATGTAACTAAAGGTCTCTGGCAAGCACAATAGTTTCAGTGATCCAAAAAAAAAAAGAAAAAAACAACTTCTCACCATTTTGTTAGTTCAGCTATCTTGACAGATTATGTCTTTTTAATACAAAAATAAGGACAAATACTGTATAAATTAATATATATTAAAAGAATCAGATTGATACATGGGGAATCTACTGAATAAGTACAGGTATTTATGATACAATAAATACTTGTCATTCATGACTGGGGGCAGAATAAACGGACTGAAGTGTGTTTATCCTGGCAGGTAATAGGTTTACCTCTATAGGTGAGAGTATTTATGTGTGTTTGTGTTTGTGTGTGTTGTTCAGTAGCTGTAGAAAATAGCACATGATTGAGCACAGCTGTGTGTAGGATCATGCACACAGTCTCAGAGGGTTCAGGAGGTCTGTTAAAAGGGAGACTGCAGACTGCAGTGGTGATTTCTTGTGAAGGTTGTCACTGCTCGCCCTCTCCCAGTGCCTTAACGCAGCTCCTCCTAGTGGTGAGTCTGTGGTACTAAGGTTACTCCTAAAACACACAACTGGGGGACAGGAAGCAGGAAGTCTGTGGTCAGGAAGTGGTCAGCTGTCAGTGACACGTCAGTCCTCCAGGGAAGAGACAAGTGTGGCACACCATTAGAGTCATCATGACCAACAAAAAGAAGTAGATAAAAGGAAAAAGTCAACTTCTGTGTGTGTGTGTGTGTGTTTTTTTTGTCTTTTTCGCCACTTCATAATAAAAAATAAGTCTGTTTTCGTACTTTACAATACAATTCGACATCCCCACCGAGGAAGCATCAATCATCAGTCCAGCACTGACAAGAAAAGAAACTTTTTTTTTGTTTGTTTTTTAAGGGTTTAAAAAAAGGTGGTGGGGGGTACTGTGCATGGTTTCCTCACGGGGAATTGGGATCTTGGACAACAGGGGGTGGGGGATCAAGTAAGGCGAGCAGGAACACAGAACATGTCTGGAGAACAGAAAAATCTGCTGAGGGTGTCGTCTCTGTTTTTTCTTTCTTTTTTTTTTTTATGAAGAACACTTTGTACAGCCGCACTTGACAACTTTCTCCACTTCCTGGACAAAAGAAGACCCGTCAGTGCACTGGAACGTGTATTTCCTGCGTTTGCTGCGAAGGGGGGTGCAGCAGGTGCCCTGTCCTTCTGCTCCCCCCGGGCAGCTGCCTCGACACTCTAAACGGGAGACCTTCTCCTGGGTTTGGCACGCCGCGTAGCCTTGCTGTCTCTGGTAGACATCTCGGACCCGTTCCCCTCGGCAGGCCACCTCTGCGGACACAAGGAACAGAAAGAATATTTGCAAGGTGTCCAAAGTTTTTACTGAGAACTCCACCAATTCTGCACATCATGGGAAAAGGTTGTCCGGCTTTGGCAACAAAGTAAGAAATATATTAGGAATGATACGACTACTGTTTGGATTTAAAAAAAAAAAAAAAAAAAGAGTTTTGTGGGAATGAAATGTTCAAACAGGAGTGCTCTATTGTGTTCAAATGACAGGCAATCTTAATGGTAAAAGCAGCAACACAACAAGTCAGTACACCAATGACACAAAGAGGACAGCAAGAAGAGGAAAAAATGGCACGAATATGAAGAATAAAGAAAAACCCTTTCTAGAAATAAACTGCTGAGTGAACTGTTCATAAAACTTTCGGGTTTAATTTGGTTCAATGGCGTTAGTTTAGTAGAAGTCGATGTCTGCTGTTGGTTCAACTAAATTCAGATGTAAAAGAAAGTTTTTTCTAGAAGCCTTTTTAACAACTCGACAGCTGAAAACTTGATTTTTGTCAATCAAACATTTTATTTGTTTCATATTTAGGAATTTGGTAGTAACATTGAAGTGATACTACTACACTACTACAAAGACTCGTAGTATGTGGTATGAAAGACTTTCTGTATCTGGTTTTGTGTCAGTGGAGCTGAGTCGGTCTGTCCTTCACCGCCATCCAGTAAGCAGCGGCTGGGCCCGGAGCTCGTCAGGATTATCCATGATGGACGGTGACCTCATCTCCACCACAGCTTCAAGTCAGGTTTCCTAATTAGTTTATTCAGTCTGTTGGTGTCATCAGCTCTGATGTTGCTCCGCCAACAGACCGCAGCAAAGTACACTTCAATCGCCTCAAATGGCCCATCAATTTGTTGCACACACTGAATAGCTCAGCCTGAAAAACTGGCCTGCCATGTGTGCATTTTATTTGAAATTACAACGCAATTATTTACAAATATTTAACACTACAATAACGGGGTAAAAGGAAATGAAGAAATAATTATACCTTAAGTAATGTGTATGTACTTTTACACATGCTATATATGTATAGTTTTGCTTTGTATAGTATAGTCCTGAAAAAATATGACTTGTTCTAATGTATCTACCTTAATGTTTTTGTAGGTAAACAGAATTACAGTGTAATTCTCCTGTGGAGCTCCTGTGCTGCTCATCAACACAGCAGACAGCTCTCAGGTAGTCAGTAATCCATTAGATGGTGGATGTGTTTACTGACACGTTCTGTAGCTTCTCTACTGCAGCAGCGGTTGGATTGTGTTAAATGCACTTGAGAAATCAAAGAGGATGATCCTCATTGTGCAGCCATTACTATCTAGATGGGAAGAAGCTCTCTGCAGCATGTAAATGATTGTATCATCATCTCCCAGACTTGGTCTGTTTACAAACTGCAGAGATTCAACACTAGCATATTAGGCACCTTCAAAACATGTGATGTGAGGGCAACTGGTCAAGAGCTGTTAAGCTGAATCTGCTGTTGATAAATCTGTGAAATGAGTTGACAAAAGTAGTATCCAGCTCAGAAAAGGAAATGCCCTCGATACACAGACAGACTTGGTTCTTTCTGATTTACCAGTCCTGGGATATAATTCCACTAATATAAAGCTATGTTACCTTTGCAAAAATGTATTCCTTTAATGCTATAATTAGTATTAAAAAAAGGTTTTTATTATTCTGCAGAGTTTGCGGCGCTCCATTACAGTGGGGAAAAAAAATAAAAAGCTGGAACTTTTCATGCTATATGTTGCATGAGGTGAGAGCAAGTATGCTGATGAGAGGTTTGCTGGGCTGCATGCAGGAGGGAAAATTAGTAAAGAAAAGCTGACGTTAACATGCGATCAGGTGGTCTCACCTGAGTAACCCCTCGTGTGGGATTAAGAGGAGGCTCAGGAGATGCTGAGTTGAAAAAGCGACAGGTTAGAAGCGTCAGTGCAGAGAGATTAAACACTTTGAGACACACGCTGCTGAGACACTTTAAAGAGAGTTAGCAAGTAACAGAGAAGCTCAGACTTTGTTAAAAGAAGCCCACTGGAGTATTAGATTATTATTTTTAGAAGAATTAAGGTAGTGTACCGAACAGGCATCCGTGTTTCGCTTACCTCTGTCACACGCCTCTCCTGTATATCCGCTGTTACACTCGCAGTACGCCTTGCCCAGGCCTGACACTCTACATTTGCCATGTTTGCAGCGAGACAGGCTGCAGGGGTTAGCTGTATCCTGGTCCTGCTCATCACAGAGGACACCAGCAAAGCCAGGCTGGCAGCGGCAGGAGTAGGAATAGGAGTTGATTGGGATGCAGGTACCGTGGATACACCTGTAGGGTGGAAGAGGGAAATACAGAAGGTAAAGAACTGGACAGACA